TTACTCGATGACACACATTTCGTGTGTTTTATGTGAGCAGTTCTGTTCGAACAGTTGGAGTAGAGAATATTGTAAGTTACTGCTAGCAAAACAATGCGAAATATGTAATTATTTTCGGTAATCCGGACACTTTTGGTAATCTGACACACCTTTGGTCCCATACCTGTCGGATTATTAAGGGACAACTGTATTATTGTTTAGTTTTGTGTCATTTTTTATTCGAAAGGTGAGAGTTTAACTGTCCTGTTGCAGTTATTCACAGTTTAGCACATAATTTTGAATTCTGTCTGGCACTTCACAATTTATTATTTAATTACTTTATTATTAATAATTCTAAAGTAACCTTTAGAATTATTAACAAATGACAACAGTTGTGTATTCTGAAATCATGTCTTCTTTTATCTGTTTTTACTGTCATGACTAGGTGCCTAGACAGACACTGGGCATTTTTGACATCAATCTTTATTCAGGAATATCCTGTTGGCTATCCCGAATAAAGATTGATGTAAGAAATGCCCAGTGTCTGTCTATGCACCTAGTCATGACAGTAAAAACAAATGAGAACAGGTTAATCTATGATGATAAATTAATGATTAATATGGTCATTATCTTAAATTTAAAAAATAAACTAAAGTATTATACATTAAAACCAAATAATTTCAATAAAAATTATATTAAGTTGAAAAATTTGTAACTGTTTTGCCAGAGATGTTAAAATCAAGAAAAAAATTACTTATTTAGATATATAATTTATACATAATTCATAATTTTCATGACAAAAATTTTAAAATTTGAGGTTATTTTATTTGGAAATTTCTTGAACAATTAATTTTTTAAAAAAGATGTTTTGAATTGTTTTAAATTTAATATTTTTTAAGTATTCACTTATTATTCTACCATGAATATTTATAGTAGAAAAATGATTTTGTGTATATAACTCAATTTTAAAATTATTTTTATTTTATTTTTTAGTTGCTACAGAAAATTTAAAATGGACAACTGATTCAATTGTTGAAAATAGGCAAACTGAAGATGACAGTAATTCTGCAAAGCCATGTTCAAGACAAGATAAAATAGGTTTATATTATTGTATATTATCAATATTAATCCATTTAAAAAAATTAATTAATATAAAAAAATCTAAATTTAATTTATTTGTATATTTATATTTTTGGTATATTTAATTGAATCTCTTTTATTAAATAAAGTATAGAATTTATTTTTATTGGGTTGACGAAAAAGCTCATGCATTTTTTAAAATAAAATGAAACAGAATTTTTGCATTTAAAACTATTTCTATTCCAATAAATAATTTCCATCAGCATTCCTAATCTTTCTAATTTATTTTGCAGTTTTGTGATACTATTTACTTAAAATACTTTGACAAATTTTATTTGAAAATATTTTAAGATGATTTTGACTTCCTTAATATTTCTATTTGTTTCTTTATTTTGTTGTTTGAAGAATTTTGAAATAATAATAGTAATTGGAAATATAGTATTTGAAGAAAATTGTGAATGTTTGAGAAGTTACCAGAAAGTTCTTTTAAGTTTTTAGTTAGTGTAGTAGAATTAAATTGAGAATTTATTTAAAGAAAAAGATTTTTTTCCTTGCTAAAGATAATTACAGTAGAACCTCGAAAACTCGGCCTAATGTGGACCGAAGGGTGGCCGAGTTTGTGAAAATGCCGGGTTATCGAGAATGGAGTTAAAAAAATAAGTACGAGTGTTTCCTCAGAAAATACTGTACTGTACTTGTATGTATTGTTTACTTAAGAATATAACAGAGAATAAACTGCCCAAATACCCTTAAACAAAGGAAAAGTACGTCTTTTATGAAGGCATAGAGCCTTTACTACATGAAAATGAAAATTAATGAATACACTGTATACAGTAATTTACCTGATAAGACAGACCTCAGAAAAATACTTTATGAGAGCTTTTATACTTTTATAAAGCTGTCTATAATGAAAATTAATTAACTAAGGATTTTTTTGCCCTGCCAGGGTGTGGCCGAGTTATCCGGGATGCCGGGTTATCGAGAGCCGAGTTTTCGAGGTTCTACTGTATTTTTATTCTTTTCTCTTCTTTAAGTTATTCAGTTGGCTTTAATATATCTGAATGACTGATTGAAATAAGTATTAGAGAAATCTGACTGAACTGTTCATAATAAATAATTTCTTTATACTTCACTTTATTAAAGAGCATGATTTTTTGGATGAAAAATATCAGAATAGGATTTATCCTGATTTAAAATCTGATTCATTATCATTTTTCTTTACCTAATTATAAGGGGGTCGTGTTGAAAGTTTCCATGAGAAAAAGTGTAACATGTAGTATTGCAGTTTGTGTTTTTAATAGAACAACTTTTGTTTAGTAGTTACACCAATAGATGTGTCATTGTTGCAAACTCCCATCATTCTGGAATAGCATTAAATAATATCTGGTGTAGTCTGTCAGTTGTTTCCAATGTAATTAACTCTGGAACATTTTCATATGGTGATGATTTATGATTTAAAATTGGATTTAATTAAAGACTACTTCATTTCATTTGCATAAAACACATACAAATGAAATGAAGTCTGAATAATGTCGAAAGTCAACATTACGGGCTGATTGTCACAGCTGATTAATATGTCATTATTTGTATACCTTAAGATTCAAATCTGATGTTTGGATGTCTCCAAACATCAGACTTTGAGGTCACCATGGCAATACCTCAGCAGGTATAATAATAGATTTCCTAGCTGAGTTAAGTATTCAACTAATGAACCTATAATCTCGATCTAGTACCTTGTAAATTACTTTTTTCTCAAAAGTCAAGGAACTGCTTTGTAGATGGTATTTCTAGAATGCAGAAGTGATAGCTTTAGTCTTCAGAGAATATATTAAAAACACTCAGAAACTCAATAGTTTGATTGATTCTACAATTACTTTGAGAGGATGGAACACTAAGAATGTGGAGGGAGTACATATTTGTTTGCTTTCCTTATCTGTTTTTCGTATCTTCTTATCTGATTTAGATGATTTACTAGTCCTTAGATCTAAACAGAATACTGTATATTCTTCAAAAATCGATTATTTTGCCATAAGTTCAAGGAACAAAGTCCATAAAGGTTTTATTTTTTATTACTTTGCTCATTTTGGTAATCTTAGATTTCCCATCTTTTTTAAACTCTTCTTTAATTTAGAAGTTTATTTTTACATCTTATTAAATACAGTAAAAAAGGACAAAGCTTAGTAATATTTATTTTTCAATTAAAAAATAATAAAAGTCAGAACTGCAAAAGAATTTTCGTTTTTTTTAATGTCTGGAACAGTGTTTCCAATTTTTTTGGATTAGTGACACACTTTGAATTTATTAAGATTCCTGCAACACACCATACCTTTTAAAATAAATTACAGTTGATTTTTTAAAAAATTTGATAATATGGAAGTTAAACTAACCAAGGCAAAACTCACAAGTTTACAAATATACTACAAAAATAAAAAGACTATTTGAATCGATGTGTAAAGAGCCAGTATCAGTTTTTAAGCTGGTAAGTTGCAACATTTATAGAAGCTCCAGAGTTGGTATAACAACATAAACATACATGCATGTAACTTTTGTGAGGGCATATGTTGATATCACAAACTGCAACAATTGCCATTTTAGTGAGTACCTCTTTCTCCATTTGGTCAGCTGGTGGTAAAAATATGAAAGATAAATGAAATTTTAAAAAAGTGTTATTCAAAATTCTGAAAATATTTAATATTTCTGCAACACTCTTGTTACACACTTCTGTGTTGCAGCACATGGGCTGGGGAAAAACTGATCCATAATATAGTAATCAACAACTTTTTAATTCAGCAAAACATTAAACTTAAAAAATTAACAAATGTTTTTGGCTACATTTATCACCATCTTTAGTTTTGAATACAGAACAAAAAAATGATGTATGACGTAAATGTCATTAAACAATTATCATATACCATATAATGTCATTAAGCACATTAATGATCTTATATTGCCAAATACATAGAAATTATTAAAATATACATACAACATATTACATTATTCCACATCAGTCATCATGATACGGAATGTTTGTCTTATTTATGATTGGAATTAATGAAACTATAATGGAAATTATTATACAATTAACCTATATCCATTTAATAATGATTAATTTAATTTTACACTTTTTATATTTATCTCATTCATATTTTGTATATATGATAACTCTATCAATTAATCTTAGTGATCATTTAATTTGAAATTTAAATCTATTTTAATCAAATTTAAATACATGATGTTCTACCAGGTAACTGGTTTTTTTAATCTGTAGATAGCTTATGAATGCAGCTGTATGTATTTGTAAATATTTTTAATTTTAATGTTTTGTGAATTAAGGATTGCCAATTACTATAATAAAAATCAAAAAGTTGTTAAGCAATATTAGTGTAAGATTATTTAAAGATTAAAATTTTAGTTTTATATAATATTTGATGAGTGTCTTTATTTTTGAAATGCCCTGTGCAAATTAATTGTTAAACTACTAAGCTAACTATTGCATAACTATTAAGTTATGGTATGGTGTTTTTAATTAAAAAATCAACATTAAATCATAAATTTTTTCTAGTTCATTCTGAGGATGCTGCTGCTTGTGCTGCATCTTCAATTTACATGATGCCTGAATCACTGCATCATACTACATATCTGCCTGCCAGTGCCCTGAGTCTTTCTTCTAGTTCTAGTTCTGAAGCTCCATTAAAAGGTACAGGATCAGTAGAATTGGGATTTATGTCTCAAGATCCTAGTGTAAGAGCAGCAGAATTAGCACGTAGTAGGGGAAGAAATCAACATCGTGATAGAAAAGTAGTGCGTAGAGCTCACAGTGAATTGGAAACTTGTCCAGAGAAACCATCTCCATCTGTACCACCTTCTCATCCAGTTAGTTTAGAAGCAATTAGTAGAAGTGTTAGCAGTGGAAGTGGTATTGTACATCCTCGTCCATGTCTTCCACGTCAGAGTGTTGAATTATTAAGACCATGCTTCAGTGAAGCAATTAAACCTATTGTTGAACTTAATGATGAGCTTCAAGTTACTAGTAATGACAATGGAAGAAATAATTCTTCTAATGTAGCAAGCAATCCTGATGTTCAGTCTTCTCATATTTCTTCTAGTGAATGTTCATTGGTTAGACATCGTTCTCTTGAAACACCACATAGGACAGGATTAAGGGAGTTATCAGGTATGTCAAAAAAGTATTTATACTTCTATTATTACTATTCAGACTTTGGATAATATAATGATCATCTCTTTCAACACATTTTTCTCTCCATAAAAGTGAGGATTAGTATTCAAAGTATACTTTATTTAGGTTCAAAAAGAACTCAACCTGTAAATGAGATGTCTACACAAGGCAATAAAGAAAGGATTTCAAATACTAAGTCAAATGTGAAATCAACTCTTGCTGAATTGTTACCAGAAGAAATAGCATCTTCTGATACTGGAGATAATAGCAGTGAACCTTCAGAAAGAAGTCATAGCAACAGTGAAGTATCATCTCTCTCTAGTGAAACATTATCTATTTCTCTACCTGATAGCAATGGTAGTCATTTTACTTTAATATATAAACCATCTCTTCATCATAAAGATAACAGAGATTCTGTATCAACCTGCCAATCAGATAAAGGCAATGTTAGTTTTCCTAATTGGACAGAAAGTTCTAAAAAAGGTCCATTGCCTTCTCCTTCACCATCAGATGGAAGCAGTGTTGCTGGATTTGAGTGGCTCTTTAACCCAAATGGTAATTTTAATAATTACTTTTATAATAAAAAAAGTAGTTAAATTTTTGTTTCTATTCAATAGATATACACAGAGTTTTGAAGTTAAAAATTATCTTCAAAATATTATATATATATTATTTATTTAATATTTAGATATATACTGAGGATAGAATGATTTTAAAAAATTAAATAAATTTATAGAGTAGATTTTGAACTTTATATTTATACTTACGAGGCGTGTTTTTAAGTAAGTACCATTTTAAAATAGGACCACTACAGTGCTATGGTTGGTGTTCCGCAAATGTGCGCTGAGTACCTATATCTGTTGGCTAGCCATAGATGCAATTACGGAAGCATTCGTTTGTTTTATGTTTGTTTGTGTGTGTTCAAAATGCCTCAGACATTTGAAAATCCTGCTAATTGAGAAGTATGCATGGTGATTCATTTTTTTAATGCAAAAGACATGAAAGCGGCTGACATTCATTAGCAGATTAGTGAGGTGTATGGAAAAACATTATTAGTGATGGAATGGTAAGAAAATTGGTTAGAGCATTTAAAGATAGCAGTACTAATGTCCATGACGAGGAGCATAGTGGGTGACTGTCTGTCATTGCTGAAGACTTGGTGCAGAAAGTTGTTGCAAAAGTTTGAGAAAACAGACGCTTTACGATTTTGTCATCCAAAACAACAGGCATGGCAAACTCAGTAAGGGGATTGTTTTGCTTCGTGACAGTAACTGTTTATATGTGGCTCAACGAAGTTGAAATCTTATCTTATCATATATGGCTGGGAACAACTTGATTGCTCAAGTTGTTCCCAGTACATATAGCCCTGATCCAGCAACTAGTGACTACCACTTGTTCTTCCACTTGAAAAAGGCATCTAGACAGTCAGCACTACAATGACAATGATGTCAAAATTCCATGCTGCAATGGTTGGCAAATCAGGCAGCAAGTGTTGATGAGGATGGAATTCAGAAGCTAATTGTATGATATGAAAAGTGACTTCATATTGGAGGAAATTATGTTGAAAAGTAGATTAAAGTACAGGCTTTCATGTAAGAATAAAATTATTTTAAAAATGTAGTTGTGTTTTTTTAATATCAAAACTGTACTTACTTAAAAAACACTCCTCGTATATATTAAATTCATAATTAATAATTATTCTACTCAAAAATTACAAAGCTAAAATAGAAAGTTGTTTTAATGTCATATGAAGTATTAAAATATTAGAATTTATATAATAAAGCTTTGAAAGATTATATATTTTATAAAAAATAACACATTTTATTTTGTTAATTTCAATGTAAGTAAATTTTCAAATGAAAACTGAATTCTAAATTGAAGACTAAATACAAATTAATAACAGACAGATAATCCAAGGTGCATAGTAGTTACTTTAGTGAATAATTTAGTGAATAATTTTATTATTTTGTATGAGTTATAAAAAGTGAATATTTGATTACTGGAGTTACTTCCTTATTAAATTTGGGAATATTTCAGTAATTTAAAACAGAGTAAAGTTACCTACTATACTTTAATTAGCTGTTTGTTATCTGATTTAATTAGTCTGCAGCAGTTGAATTTTAACATTATTGTAACTTCCTGCAAATAATTTAGGTTTGTCTATATTTATAAGTTTATTAGTTTTTTTTTTATTGTGCAAATTATCTACTAACTTTAAATTGTAGTCATCCAATAGCATTTCATTTGTATATGTAATTTGTATTAAAATAACCTTATGTATCACATACATTTAATTACTATTGCATGTTTTTCAGAAATCACCCAACACACATACATATGCATCATCTTTAGTTCTCTCCTGTTTTCTGTATATCAATCCACACTTTAATTAATATTATTACACACTTCTACTTAAACATTTATCTTGAAAGCTGATAAAGTTTTGGTAATTTCCCACTCTCTATATAATGTTTCTTAGAGAACTATTTACAAGATGACTATTGATTTTATCAAATGCTAGTCCTCTAAAGCAAATAAGAAGAGCTGCTAAGTAATTGATCCTAAACCCAAGTTGTTGGATATGTGTAACATTCTTAGTAAGATCAACAAAGATAACTTTAAGGCTGTGTACACTCTAGGTGTTTTGCGTTGTGTTAAATGCGCGTTAGCAGTGTACACACCGCGCGTTAGCTCGGCGTTAGACAACCGTTTAGTGGAGCATACGCACTGGCTCAGTTTGGAAATGGACGTGAAAGTAATTGCTTGTGTGCCCCTCCTCCATCGTCGCTATAAAAGACGATGGCAGAGGCAAAGAGAATTTTGGGTGCACCCAATATTACGCGATAGACTGACACATGGAATGTTTGCAACGTTGTATCCAAAACTAAGACAAAATAAACCCAAGTTTTTTAATTCTTTTAAAATATCTATAAAATCCTTTGACAATGGTTGGTCTCTGTTAGATTTCATCAATAAATAGATCAGTATCGAAATGATCGTTTTCCATTTCGGCCAATGTACGTCCACTCTACCCGAAAACGCGCAATCGAATGTACAGTAACATGGCAGCACATATATCTCAAAGCGCTAGGCTGACGCCCGCAAAATGCGCGATCGAATGTACAGTAACATGGCAGCACATATATCTCAAAGCGCTCGGCTGACGCCCACAAAACGCGCGTTTTAAGAAAAATCTATAAACGCGCATTTGACGCGTGCTTGGCCAAAAGCATGCATTTGAGTGTGCATGCCTATGCAGAACTCTTGGTTCTTTAAAACGCCTAGTGTGTACACAGCCTAACAGAAATTATTTTATTTACCTCTTATTTACTCTAAATCTGATATGACTCAAATCAGGAATGATTGCCCTGTTTCAACCCTGTACTCACTTTGATTATGGGTTGCTCATCAAACATTAAATGTACCATAGATATTTACATTAAAATTTTTTGAGGTTGTCTTAACATATTATTATTATTATTATTGTATTTTGAGGTTGAGGATTGTATTCTAGTATGTTAATATTGGTGATTGGAATATATTTTGTAGAGTATACAATATTATCATTTTTGGGTTTTATGTTATGTGATATCTTGTATCCTTATAAAAGACATCACATTTTAGCATGTTTTGTGGATTATTGATTATGTATGTTAAATGTTTGTATAGTTTCTGGTGCAGGAATGTAGTTTTTTTTTTGTAGCAGAAATTGTAAATGTTGTTTATACAAAATTCTTCTAACTGTGTGTTCTTGTGTTCCTTCTATTGCAGTTTGGATATCGGATATCATATGTATTTATTTTATCCAGTATAATTAGTGCCTCATGTTTTAGTATTGTGTTGGCATTGATGGAGTGTGTCCTACCTGACATATATATTAGTGCCTAGTGCTATATAAGAACCAAGTCATAGCATAACTACAAAAAATATATTTTGTTTACATGATGTTCATGTATGTATCTGTGTTAAGAACTTTCTGTGTGGCATATGCTTAGGATGACAACCATGTGTAGTGTGATGTATGTGCTGAAGCCCTAATATTTCTAGACTTTTGTGTAATATATGTGATAGCACTACACATATAGAAAGCACTACACACATGATAAATACCTTATCTATTTTCCACAGACACATTATTTCATAGGTGAGTTCTGAATATTTACTGATATTTTTTCAGTATGTGTTTTTGTCTGTTGTGGGTGTTTGGTACAACTATGTCTATAATGCATGTGAATGTGTTTTGTATGTCAATGAAACTGATATCTGTTTGCTATGATGTCTGATCATGGCTCAGTCATAGTATATTTTGTTTTTTCTAAGACTATCTCCTTATGACATGTATTTGTAGTATGTTTGCTAGGTGTGTAGTGATTTGTATTTGTGTGCAAGCTTTTGTTGTATTACATTTTTACTTGGTTATGTTGATATAAATAATGTTTTCTCTAAACTTCATATAGCTGTGCAGTGTTGAAATGTACCCGAGCAATAAACTTTCAGACAATAAATCCAATTACATGTTCATATAAACTTTTTTGTATAGAATCACTCATACTATCATAGAATCCAGATACTAATCCAAACTCTCATCCTAATTAATTGGACTATTATTATGCTATAATTAATAATTAGAAACTAAGTAATTTGGTACTAGAGGTAAACACTAGGCACCATCTCATATTAAATTTAATAATTATAATTTAATTAAATAATTTTAGATATTTTGATAATCTGAAACCATGTCATAAGACTTCTTTGTTGCTTAGACACTATGTAGTGTTTAAGTAACAAACAAATAAATAATTTTAGAATAATCTCAAAGAAATCTAGGGATAAATTAATCAGTAATTCAAATTATTATTGCCAGAATATAGTCCGATATTATATGGGGCAGTTGGTATGGCTTTATAGCTTATATTCTTTGAACTATTGCTTTAGATTGTTGTTATTGTATTTTCTTGTCCTTACCATAAGGTATTGTATGTTATTCTTAACATATTATCAATTAAAAGCTGTAATGATTATCTATTAGAGGAATTGTTCCAGCTCTATTTTATTAAATTCAGACAATTGTTTTGTCTAGATCCAACCATTTTGCAGTAAAATAAGTTATCTTTTTGCATTCTAACTGATTTTAAACTAATTATTATTCATTTACTTTTTTAAATTCAGGTATCTAAAGAACTAAATTTATGTTAAAATGCTTATATTCCTATTCATTCAATACAGAAAAGGAACAAATGTTATTTTTCATATATTTTTTTTTTTCCTGTTTTCATTCTAATGAGCTTATAACCTTTCTTTTGATGTTTAAATAAACTTATAATTTGTATTTAAAAGACTTTACAGATAGATTTTTTTTTAATATTTAAAAAATTTTATCTTTTGTTTGATTTTAACTACTGTTTCTTTAAATTTGTACTCCCCTTAGGATGAAATTAAGAATAAGAATGTTTATCAAACCATTGTGTAATTAGTGTAAAAAAATTCATATCATAAATATATTCTTAGATATTGTTGTTTTTTTAAAATTATTAAAAAACTGAATATTTTCTGTTGTACATGATTTCAAATTTCACATTTATTAAAAATTGTAAACAAAATATTTGGAATTAATAAGCCGTGTAACAGAAATAAAATTTAACTGCATAGTAATAAATTTTATTAAATTTAATTAGGAGTTGGAACTATTGTTGAAAATACTTCTAGCTGTTTAGCTAACAGTAGTCCCGAAGGTTTATCTGACAGCACACTTTCTTCTCCTGATGAAACAACTCCTTTAGAAGGACCATCTAGTCGATCACGTGGTGCAATACCAAAACATCATCAATCTGAAATGCCATTATACAAAGGTAATAAAAATGCCATGCTTTAGATTTTATTAAGTTATCTGCACTTGCTTTGGGTGCTTTAGGTATATGATTGAATTAATTATAAAACTTTCAGTTTATTGTTTAAAAATAGTTTTTTTTGTTTGTTTAGCCATTTGTGTAAGTAAATCGTGTAATTATTTTATTACATAAAATTGTAATAACTTTAGAATAATAATTAAGTGAAATTATGTATTGAAAAATTATAAAAGTATAATTCTTAAAAAAACCGTTTTTGGGCTGCAATTTGAAAAAATATAGACCTATAGATTCCCACTGACATTCATCCATCTTCCCTTAATCTCGAGAATGGAGTTAGATAGATGAAATTCAAGACTAGATATGGAAGCCTTAGGGGCAAGAGGCCCAGATTAACTATATGCGAACTTCTGACACAAACTGGAAGTCAAGTTATTTTGATTCAAAACTTTTTCCCTTAAAGCAGTTAATAGCTGACTGGCACAATTCTATTGTTAAAGGAAAAGTATGATGTACAAGGGCAAGTCACTACTACTAATTTGAGGTGGAGAGCATATATTTTAAATTAAATTTTTGATTAAAAATTGCAGCCCAGCATTGTGACAATGTCGCAATAAATAATTGCTCATTTTCAATAAATTTTTGTAAATATAAATATTATCTGCTCATAATTGGAGGTAATGAACACTATAAAATAAAAATAAGTTATTGAAGTTATCAACACATTTAATTTAAAGCAATTGGCTAAGATAAACAAAATTTAATAATGAATATTTTTTATAAGATCAACTTGTCGTCATTAAGTTATACAGTAGAGCCTTGAAAAGTCGGCACTCGATAACCTGGCACTCCGGATAACTCGGCCACACCCTGGCAGGGCAAAAAAATCCTTAGTTAATTCATTTTCATTATAGACAGCTTTATGCCTCATAAAGTATTTTTCTGGGGTTTGTCTTATCAGGTAAATTATTGTACACAGTGTATTCATTAATTTTCACCTTTATGAAGGCTCTATGCCTTCATAAAGGTTGTACTTTTCCTTTGTTTAAGGGTATTTGGGCAGTTTATTCTCTGTTGTATTCTCAAGTAAACAATACATACAAGTACAGTACAGTATTTTCTGAGGAAATACTCATACTTAGTTTTCTTAACCCCATTCTTGATAACCCGGCATTTTCACAAACTCGGCCACCCTTCGGTCCACATTAGGCCAAGTTTTCAAGGCTCTACTGTATAACAAAATAGCATGCATAAAGTTGTTACAGTGAAATAACTGTATTTAGAAAACCTATACTCATTTATGCAAAAATTAATAAATATATGAATTAAAACAAGAAGTTTGAATTTGTTTTGTATTAAAATAGATTGTTGTTATATGCTACCCAAGTAGCAAATGGTTTGGATATTGATGTGGTTTGATATCACTTTGTTTGATGTATTAAAATGTAATGGATCTGAAGATGAAATTATAGATTCTTAAAACATTAATCTGAGATAAAAAAAATTTTCTGACTTCTATAAAGTATAAAGTGCTATTTTTAGTTGAATAAGAGAATCAAGTATACTAAGCAAAATACCGTATTTTACAGACTATAAGATGCACTTTTTTCTTTGAAAAATTGCCTCCAAAATTCAGGTACATCTTATACTCAAAATTAATATAAAAATGTCCAGTGTTTGATTTAAAATTCCTGCATCTTAAAAATGGCCATATATTTGATGATATTTGATATATTTAAACCTATCTCTATCTGGCAACATTGAATTCAACTGGTAGCAGCAGTGCACTGATGCAATGAACATGAGTTGTGGGGTGTCGGGATAGAATCGTCTGGACATACGATTCTCACACTTTTTCTCTTTTGAAACGAGCTACAGTTGTTGCCATAGAAACGTGGATCATGAGATGACCAGTGATTCTGAATTCATGACCGCAGATTGGTCAGCGATCATTGTGCGACCATCATACGATCAGCGGATGTCCGATAGCGCTACTAAGTGTTGATTGGTGGATCAGTATTTGCTTCAATTCATATAAAAGGATTGAATTTAGACGGTAAAAAATGGTAAAAATGTTATTTTTTTAAAAATTGCTTAAAAATTAAGGTGTGTCTTATAGTCCATAAAATATAGTATATTCTGTTTATGTTGCATCATATTCTGAATTTTGAAGTTTGAATTTCTCTGTTATATTAATTTTTAATAGCTAAATAGTGTCAAAACTAGTTAGGCCAGAACTGCTCACATAAATCACAGGATGAAAAAAACAGAGCTTTCATGACAAGCCATTGAATAGCCAAGACTCTAAGGAAGAACATAACAAAAGAGAATGTATAGATTGTTTCTCTACACTACTGTATCATTATCAATTATATCAAAAAGATAAGACTCACTTCATTAGATTAGATTATTCAAAAGATCAGGAGTGTACCAAACACCACTGATAGATGAGAAAGGAGGGCTATTCAAGTACTAGATATACTAGATTTGTAACACTACTGACCAACTGAACAAATTAAAACTTAAAAAAAATCATGAAAAATTTTGTCATCACATCCTAACCTAAGCAGTTAAAGAAGAGAAAATCTAAATATATTGGAATTAAGTAAGAATATTCATATCTCACTCAGACCTACTCCTATCCCTTAGAGTTCGTATTGCTCAAAACAGCAGGAGAAATGCTAGTTGTGAATAAGAATAAAGTAATCAATGCCAAAAAAAAAAGAGGGCAGCAGTCATAACCATGAGACATGGGCACTTTCAAGTTGCAGAGAAGCAAACTGCCCAAAAACTTATTCTGATACTTAATACAGGAGTTATCATAAGGAGCTGAAGCAGTCTTAAATTTGTATTGGCATAGCAGATATTACTAAAAATTTAAAATAACTGTTTAATTTTGAACATCATCTATGGAACATTATCTAGTAGATTTGAAGATGGAAATAGAAAATTCTGAAAACATTTATCTTTTTAACAGTTGGTTTTTTTCTGTTTTATTTTATGAGTGTAGGTTTAAAACTTTAATACTAATACCATTACAGTTGAAACTTATTTGTATCATTATGTTCTAAAAGCAAAAGACAAAAAATTAGAAGGACACACGTTTAAAATTACAGTGGTACCTCAGGATACGAATGCCTTAGCATATGAAATTTTCAGAATACAACATGAAATTTGAACATATTTTTGCTCCACAATACAAACAAAAACTCATCATATGACATTACATTAGTTTGCAGTGCCATTTTTTATTCATTTCTGTTCATTGGTCTCAGTCTGGTGTTTGCTTTGTTGTGGAAGGATCTTGCTCGATAAAGCAAATCTTGAGGTATTATCAGAAAGTGACTGATTTTAATGAAAAGAAAACATCCCGAAAAGGTTTACACTGGCCGTATTGCTGCTCGGAGTAATGACATTTGCCTAAGTCATTTTAGAAAAATTTTAAAAAGTAGGAAAAGCCAACCTCTTTGGATAGATATTTTACCAAACAACCTCTATCCAGTGAAAGTGCTGGAGGAAGTGAAGGAAAGAAAGCAAAAAGCAGTGAATAAAAATAATATATATATATAACACAACACTAATTTTTTTTATCTTTTCTAAGTTATTTTTAAGTTATTGTTATATTATGTTAAGTTTTAGTATCATTTCCCTTCTCCCTCTCTTCTGCCACCAGTTTACACCTCCACCGTCGTCTATCCTCAAAGGTAAAGTGCAAATAAAACTACATTTTTTTTTTATCAGTTATTATTCTTTTATGGTTATTTATACATTTACAACTACAAAATGCATTTTTCAGTGTTTTCCTTACTATAGTTATTTTTTTTAATGTACTACTTAGCTTTAATTTGAGTGTGTTTTTCGTGTTGGAATGAATTATTTGGTTTTACATGTAATCGTATGGGGAAAAATGATTTACCTTACGACATTTTCATGATACGATCTCAGTTTCAAAACGGATTAATTTCATATCCTGAGGTACCACTGTAATTATATGCTGAGAAGATAATGAAGACTGTATTTTGAAATTGTTTAATCCAAAAGCAATACATTTCCAAAAAGTAAATATCTAATAATATACTTTGTCTATATATCACTAGCTTTATGCAAATTGCTTTTTATTAGTGCAATATGCATTTATATGCACCCAAATTCAAATTTTTTTAGAACAGTTCATTAAATTTTAAGGTTTAAGTAAACATTAAATTTATAATTTTTTCAGTTCACTTACATTAAAAAATAAACATTAATTACTTTTGATGTTTTGGCCTAACTTAAAATTGATAGATTTCATAACTTCTCACATCTGTTTTGATTGGTTACAGTAATGACTTTTTACTATGAATTTTTATATAGTATTTTTGCATAATGATTTTTAATTGGAGCATGTTGGATTTCATAATATAATGCTAATCAAAAAGTTATTGTACAATGAGTGTTCTATTAGAAAAACAGTTTTTATTTTTGTCATTATAGCAAAAATGGACTGTATTCAAATATTGATATTCAGGTCATATTTTATCCATCATACAATTTTCACCTTGTATGTTTGGTTTTCTGAAAAATATACAAATAAGTGCAAGTTCATAAACAAAACAAATATTTGACTGTGCTGCATTATTAGCAATGTTTAATGCTATATTCTCTGATGGAGTATTACTTTTTAATTGGAAGAGATTGTTTTAATTTTTAATAAAATTATTTATATAATTCAAAATTTTTAAAAATTTATCTGAGATTTTTGCTTTAACTAAAACTTCAAAATAAATAGCAATTTTCTTGTTTAATCAAAGTAATATTTTTTATTTGGCATTTCATTTTGGCAAAATTTATGTATTTCAATTTATATTTAATTCATTATGTATATCAATGTATTTAATCACTAGAATAATCATTATATCAAATGCCCAAGTGACCATAGAATTACTCAATACAGTGCACTCTTGCTAATCTGAACCTGAACTAATCCAAAATCTGCTTAATCTGGATCAGTTTTATTCATTTTGTTAATAAATGTTTCAGCCAAAAATAAAAAATTAGATTATTTTTAAAACATGATGAATTTGTAAAACCTAGTATATACTACAGATTTTAACATAAATATATGTACGTATACAGTATAAAAATTTTTTTAAAGATTTATATATTTGTGGTCCTTTTTGACTTTCTTTATGTTATGTATAACTCCACTAATCCAAATTTTTCTCTAATCTGAACAACCCTGTATAGTATTAGTTTGGATTAGTAAGAATGCACTGTATACATAATTTGAACAATAACAAAACAGAAATTTGTTTTTATATCATATGAAAGTATGCTTAAAACTTACTTTTGCAAAAAAGAATTCTACTATTGATATGGATCTAATACATTAATGTTATTGACTACTAACTTTTCTTAAAAATTTATTTGGAACTATTTGTTAAATTATATTTTTTTCGATATTTAGCATTAAATTTTTTTACTTTATGTTAAACATTTTGCAATGATACTTGGTTTTGTGCTCTATTAAATTATTCCAATTTTAAATTGAAAGCAAATTTTTAATGTAATTATCTTTTGTGAATGTGAAATAGGTTTACGTTTGCATCTAAAATCAGATAATAAACAAGTTCAAGAATCAGATCAATGGTCACTTGGTCATCGAGTGTTAGAAATATTAAGTAAAACTGATCCTGAAGAATATGAAATAGAGCTACAAAAGCTAAAGAAAGAAGTAGATATGAAAAGTAAGTTTATAAAATATAATGTTGTTTTTGTGAGTAATGTAGCATATTTTTAGTGTTTGCATTTTTCAACATAAACTACTCTCTAGCTGATTGTCAAAACTATCATTACACTGTATAATATTTCAAAATAATACACTCAAAAGAGATTTGTGAAATGTTCATTTGTATTTTCAATCTTTTACAATGGACATCTTACAATCCAGAATCCAATTTCATTTTAAATATTTGATTTTCACTTCTTGCATATAAGTAAAAGTTTTATACTCCTACTAGAAATATTAAATTTGTATAGTTTTATTATATACAGTGAAAACTGCTTAGGCGACCACCTGCATTCGAAGGGCACCTGTCAAAACGGGCAAAAATTTCTGGCACGGAATAGTTTATCCATAGAGTCTTCGTATAAGTTACCTGTATTAAACGACCACCTGTGTAACGCGACCGTGGGCATCGATTTTTGGTCCGAAACAACATACAACACCTGTAATAAGCGACCACTTTCGCGAATGTATCTGGTCTAAACTATTTTAAGAACCCATCTCAACAACATTTCCACCTCCTAATATAATGAATTAGTCTAAACTCTCGTTCGAACCCATCCCGGGCACTTTTCCCACCCTCGAAATTAGGTGCATGTGTTAATAAATTAGTCTAGCAACAAAAAATTCATTTCAGTTTGTTGGAAAATGTCCGAAATGCAAAGTGCTGTCGTTAGAAGATCGTATTAAAGTTATCACAACAGCAATTAGCGGCGAAGTTTAACTGTGGGAAAACAAAATTTATTTTACCCTAGACCTACAGTATTTTCCTTGGGGGTGTAAAATATTGTACACGATACAATTAATCGGCTGATCTCATCGTTTGATAAAATCTATTTTTATTTATTTATTTTGAAGCTCATATACAGTACACGTGCGATAAATAGTTTCTGTATCAACCTACCTTATTTCCACGATATTTTTAGAAAAATAATATCCAAGTAAATTTCGCAGGCAAAATATTCAAAAAACAATAAAAGCATTAATGCAAAAATCAGTTTTGCTTCTTTTTTTCGATTCCGCGATTGTAATTGAAATCGTATAATGAGAAAAAATAATAAAATCGTTTTATTATTAATTAATAATTTTTCTTATTGTACTTAATTAATTAAGAAAATATTAAATATTAAAAAATACAGTATTTTTAAAGTTAAAATAAGATTAAACTAACGAAAACCAAAAGCAAAGTGATGGAGAGATAGGACGCGCTTGTATATTGATGACGTAATACACGTAACTGAGGAGCGAACGAAAAGAACCGAGTCGAATTAATTAAGTCGGAAAAAAGAAAGTGTGCATTATAATCGAGAAAATGCGAGTATTGTATTAATCTTTAAAATATTGGTGTTAAATCTGTCTTATAATATCATGACGACTCCTGTAAATCGGGTTATCCGATAAGAATAAAATACAATACCAATATAGCCCTATCGTTGAAAAAATTCGCTTATTTTTGCTCACCTCGAGTTTTGCTTAGTAGAAATGGCTAAAAAGTGCGCAAAATACATACGGAAATACGGTATTACAGCACCACCTGTATTGGACGTCCACCTGTCTAAAAGACCACTTTTTTAAGGAACCGTGGGTGGTCGCCATAGACAGGTTTTACTGTATTTTCTTTTCAAAATGATAAAAATTCCAATAATGTTAAATTTTAATTAAAAAAAATAACAACATATAATATTCAGTTAGTGTTAAAAGCTTAAAAATTATGTTTAAAATGTGAATTTTTATAGAAAATTCTGTTGTAAAGTACCAAAAGTGAGTTAAAAATGTTGAGGGGGGAAAATTTGTAAATTTCACTTCATTGAGATATCAGTTGTTGAATATCTAAATGTTGTATGTCCACAATGTGTCCATAACTGTGAAATAACAATATAATGTTTACTTTTTTATTCTCAATGCACAACAAATCAATTAAAGATGATGGAAATTTTAAAATAAGTATAACTGAAAGAACATTAAAGTTAGAATCTCTAACAACACATAACTTAGTCATCAGTTAACTGGTATTTGCTGGAATTAGCAATTCTGATTTTCTACCAAAACTTTCTTTTTATTGATACACAATGATATTTATGTAATAATTATTGTTATTAAGTCAGTAATAATCAAGGAAATTATTCAAAATGATTGTAATCTGCTTTATTGCAGCTGAAATCTTGTTAATGAAGAGTAATTTTTAAATTCTTCTCTAAATTTTCAGTTTAGTTCTCCTCAGGAGTCTAATATTTGAGTTTTGATACTTAATTTAAGAATAATTAAACTTAGATTAGACAACAGGTTTTTTAAATTTGTATTATTATTAAACCATCAGGTTTTCTTATTTTTTTTAATATTTAACAATAAAAAATTTTTTAACATGAAGAATCTTCTAAAAAACTTTTGTAACAAACCTGACAATCTTACAAAATTGCAAATCATGCAAAATTTGAAAACTTCAAAGCTCATATAATAAAAAGTTTTAAAATATTAAAGTACAAAAAAACAAAAATGAGTAAATTGTCTTAAATGTAAATTTAGTAGAAATTGATAATAACAGTTCAGAGGTATAATTACAAATTATTTATGAGTTTTACTTATTCATTTTACATGTGCAATTTTTATTTTTATTATTATTATTTTTTTTGTATTTTAATTAAAGGCTGAATTTTTAGTTGCAAAAAAGGTGCGGGAAAAAAGTCAAAAAGGGCAGAAATAGGTGCAAAAATTTACATTTCAGAAAATACGATTGGTTTTATTCAAATAAAAATCTGTTGAAGTACATGATATTTTTTATTTCAATGTGTTTTTCTGTAAAATTCATTTGCTTGTCTCCTAACAAATGTTTTATATGGAGTAAGATCTTTCTACTTCTACAGAAACAAGTGGAGCAAATCGTGTTTTAATTCTCTAGTTCACGTCTTTGCAATGAACAAATTCTTGAATATCTAGGTGTTTCCGAATATCTAGCTGCTCAAGCTTTTCTTTTGCAGAGAACAGTCTAGAGTTTAACTATTCCCCACTGATATTTCATAGTATTTTTACTTTCTTCAAAACTTTTTATTGCTTCTACTAAGAGCTTAAATGTGTATACTACATAATGTTTCTCTTCCAATTTTTGGTCTTTTATGACCTGTTGAATTTTATATACGGTAGGAGTTTCTAGCCACAACTGTTTAAAAAATTCTAAAATCATCTGAAAATTTTCACAATAAAACACTACAACACTTATCCAAGTTCCCCAGAGAGTTACTATCGGAACAGGTGGAAGAGACAGACTAATAATGTCTTTGTATTGCTGAACTCTTGCTGGGCACTTTAGCAGATTTTTTTTTCATTTTAGACATATTTGAATTTACTAGAGTATTCATTGCAAATACATTCACACACAGTATGAATAGCATGGACTAAACAAGTAACATGTTTCATATTTGGGTACATTCCTTTCAAATTGTTAAAAGCGAAAATGATGTTTGATGCTTGGTTTGAAAGAATGAGAATCATATCATCATACCAAATTCCATCTGGCCAAAGCTTTGAGCAGACATCGTTAAAAGCTTGCATGAAGATGGTTTTGTTAGTTTTTTAAAAAAATGTTTCCAGCAATATAGATTTCACGTATTCATCAGTTAGAGGAAATGCCAAGATATTTAACACATGCCTATTTAAGGCATCAGTAGTCTCATCCAAGATAAAGCAGACTAGATTCTCACTCACAGTACTTAACACTTTTTGGAAAGTTGCCTGGTAGACAGAAGGCAAGTAATTCTTCCTAATAGTACTTTCATCTGGTAAATATTTTTTCAATATATTTTTCAAGATAATTTTTAAATACATGTTGATTGAGTTTTTAGATAATGGAATTCCTATCCTGATAAATGTTTTAGCAATATCAATAAAAAGTTGATTCTTTGCAGAACTGACTGCATTTTGCAAGGCCTGTTCAATAAACTGTTGCTGTCTTGATGCAGTTTCTTTCAAGGATTTGTTCTTTTTGTGTTTTGTACTTCTTATATGTTGCTGGATAAACTTTTGATGTTTTTCATTGACATTTATTGTCATCGCACTGAATGACTTTTTTGTCAGAAAGAATTTTTTCATTTTTAATATATTTCAAAATCTCGCAAAGTTTGCCTGTAGTCAATCTTGCTGTTTTTCCACTCTCTAGTTCATTTACACATTGCCATCCAGTTAGTTTTAATGATAGATTTGTGCTAAATATCTGTGGGGTTAGATAAGTGAAATTCCTAAACTGTAAAGAAAATAAATGAGGTGGTGTGGAGGAGAGAGACGACGATGATGGTTAAAAAAAAGGAAGGAAAAAACAATTGTGGAAGACGAACATTAAAAGACGAATGCAAGAATTAATGACGTTTTCATCTATTTTGCCGACGATTGGATCATAATTATACTATACCTTCTTTCATGTTTTATTCCCTATATATATATATATATATGAAAGTTTCCAATTAGAGTATTTTTGATAGTATCCATAATTTTATAGCATTTGTAATGAAGAAAATCTCTAGTAAATTGCTTTTTAATAATTGTTTCTGTCAAATATTTCTATTTAATGTTTTTATTAGCTATGTTTATCACTCCTTCAAACAAAATTGCAATTCTCTAATTACATTAGAACTCAAGTTTCACTAAACTTTGACTTCTCCTCTCACTAACTGTTAATTTTTTGATGAGCACGGTGTGAATGCTTTAGTGCTGATAGTGATCATATTATCTCTGGAATTGTCATTTAAGTGCAAATATAGAAAGAATAAGTGCAAAAAGTGCTAAACATTATAACAGGTGAAAAAATGGCAACACTAGACCCCCACTATCACTTGATATACATTAATGTATGATATTTATACTTTAATTTAGATAGTTTTTAACACTCCCTAAAATAAAAAAAGGTGCATCATTTAAAAATCCAGCCTTTAATTATAATATAGCTATTCCTAATCTGACTCCTAAGTTGAATAA